GTGCACTGTCAGGTGACGGGCTCGGGTCTGCCGGGTCAGCCAGTGTCATGATTGGTTTGTTCATACGTATTGCGTAGGTGTTTTATGGAAATAAAACGCATCGAAAATGCGCGTTATCTTGAAAATGGCGCGATTGACTGTGGGGTGTTGTTTGATGGCATGGATGAACCGGTTCCGTATACGGCAACTGCCACGGATACAGCAGAGACAGGGCAGCGAGTCTGGCAGGAGCTGCAAAGCGGGAGATGGGGAGAAATAACGCCGTTCACCGTCACGTCAGAGATGCTGGAAGCAGCAAAAGCAGCCAAACGCCGGGAAATTGAAGCATGGCGTACAGAACAGGAAGCGCAGCCATTCATTTTTGAATGGAACGGTCATAGCTGGAACGGGGGACCGGATTCGATGGCCCGTCTTTATCCGGTGGCGATGGCATCGAAATCCGACACAGCACGGGACGTCATGACGTGGGGTGATGCGGAAAATCAGCAGGTAAAGTTGTCAATGCAACAACTGGATGAGCTACTTACTGCAATGGTTCAGGCGCAGGTTGATCGCAATGATGAAATTTATCGCCGTCCAGCGAGGAGAATGAAAGAAGCGTTAAATGCACTGGATGGTTTGAACTCGATCAGAAAGCTGGCAATTAACTAGTAATTTACGGGTGATTTTGGGCTTTTGTTACACATTCGCAACGAAGAATTGTGTGCCATTAGCCCAAGAAAATTATATTTTAATGATTTCAACAGTTACTAGTGTGTTTCTTGTTATAATCGTCAAGTAAAAAATCTTTGTGTTTTTCAGCCAGTAAACCTACTTCCCCCCATTTCAAAATATGTGTCCAGTATCCCATGCCGACAGATGATATTGGAGCGTAAAAAATAATAATTCTATTTTTTGCATTTTCGTCCGTTATACCACGAGAAATTGCAGTGTTATTTTCTATTCGCACTCTGAAATCAGGATAATAACAAGAACCTTTTAATTTTAACCATACGGTTGAATGATTAGTATGTTGTTCTATTGAACTTATTTCACCAAAATAAAACCCCGGTTCTTCTTGTTCAGAGCGGATATCAGAAATACTTTTTAATGCATCGCAAAAAATATAACTGTGAGCGAGACCAGTGCCAGTGGTGATAAATATCTCTTTATAGTAGTTTTCTTGAAAGTTAGTACATAGAGCTTGCACGCTTGTTATCTTACTGGGCAGATTGAATGTTTCACCTTGATGACGAGAGATGGGAATTTCAACAAATACCCCATTTTTACTTTCAAAGTACATTTCCGTTGGAGTGGCGGAAGAATCTGTATTATCACGATATACAAGTTCTGGTCGTTCCTGCATGAATCCGGATATGATAATGACATCATTGTCGCTAACAGCTTTTTGGGCTTCTTCTTCACTAGAATAGCGTTTCCCGATAATAGCTCCGCTTCTCAACAAACAAAAAGGAGCATTTGGATTTGGGTAGTGGCGGAAGAGAGCTTCTCGCCCGTCAGTCATAATCGTTATACTTGACTCTGATGGTATACGATTAAGTGGCTCATAACATTGGGGACAAATGAGATGATCTTTCATTTCTTCTTGATATTCTAATGGTCCAACACTTGTACGAACTAACTGTGCTGTACTGTGTATGCTTTTATCCCATACAGGATCGAAATAAGCATAGGCAATGCGGCGGCTAGTCATGAGTTATCTCCGGTAAGGTAGAATATATAGGATTCGAACAAAGTTTTGGCTGTTGTATTGTTTGAGCAATTACTAAGCCTATTTTGCATAGTAACCAAACAAACATATTTGTTACAACCCATTTACATAAATTTAAGAATAAAAATATGTGCAAACGGCCTTAATTTAGCTTGAATACTGAGGGCAAAAATGGGGCAAATGCCGTAAAAGGTGCAAAAATGGGGCAACAAAA